TGCAAAGATAAAGTTGAACCAAGGAGTCCCCCAAGGGTCTATACTGGGGCCATTATTGTTCCTTGCCTATATAAATGATATTGTTGATATACCTCATTCTCCTGAACTTATAATGTACGCTGACGATACGAATGTTTTCTTTTCATCAGACAATCTAATATCACTTGAGGTCAGTGTAAATAATTATCTAAGCAATCTTTCAAATTGGTTAAGGCAAAATGGACTGCGCTTGAATGCAAAAAAAACAACCTATATGATATTCCGACCTATAAACAAACTTATTAGTAACATAGCTGTAAAATTCGAAGAAAATTGCATCGCACTTGTTAGGGAACAAAAGTTTCTTGGTGTATGGTTTCAGGAGGAATTAAACTGGTACACACATGTAAATCATCTGATCACCGCATTAGCGCGAATAGTTGGTTGTTTTTTTAGAACAATGCACTTAATCCATTGAGGTTAAAAATAAGTATGTACTATGCACTCTTCCATTCTAAAGTAAGTTATGGGATGTTAGTCTGGGGAACGACATCACAAGGAATTACCATAAGTTAATAACTATACAAAAGAAAATATTGCGCTGCTTTGAAAAATACAGGGGGAATCTACAAGACTTGCGCACTGCTCCACTATTCATTAAACATTCCATACTCAGAATTGATCAATTATATCATTTTAAATTGCTTCAATTAATACAAAAGACTAAGCTATATGAAGAAAGTTGCACCGAAAGACCACACTACAGCCTGCGAGAACAAAAGAAACGAGCTCCTAGAACAAGAACCAAGTATGGAAAACAAAGTATTGCTTACCAGGTACCTCAGGTTTTAAATACCCTTGCAGATCAAGTGAACTTTAGGGCTAGTAGTGCGACTTTCAAGAAACAAATAAAGAACTTATTCATAACCACCGGTCTACACTATCGAAACTACGTAATGGAGTCTCATGCTTCTGCAAATGCTAAAATTGTTCATAAACTTCTATGTCAATTATACGAGTGTATACAGCGCAATTCATTGTATCCGCATGCATTTTGTGTCTGTTTTTGAGTCGTTTCATTGATATCGTTTAGTTGTGAATTTTTACGAGAGTGACCTCTAATTCTTAAAATGTGTTATGTAAACTTCTTATGCTATTTATGTTTGAATTTTGTGTTTACAATTTAAGGTTGCTTGAAACCAATGTATTGAATATATATATTGTTTGTCAGTGCTGATGTCTAAGCTTTGCACTGTCACGGACTGCGGAGGGACAAGGGCCTTTGTCAGGCTGTTCGCCTTTAGCCCTTTGCCCCTGCAGTGAGCTCTGTATCCGGCTTACTGTAAATAAAAATACTACTACTACTACTACTACTGTAGAGAAGCTGCTTCTCGAAAAATATGTCCGAACAAGACTAAAGATTTACCTCAGGCAGCAGCATAAACACAGAGTAAATGGGGCAGCAAGCAAAACCTGTGCTGCGGCAAACTTGGAGTAGTTCAGCAGCCAGCTAGAACCGTAGAGCGTACGCAGCTGCGATCATTTTTTTTTATGTGAGGACACTTGAATGACTTGGGTGGTACACGCTCAATCATAATTTAGGACTGCCTTTGTTAAGGACTCTATGCAACTTCATTGCCGTACAATGATGATAAAGGAAAATTGATGCTTATTTGCATAATTTACATTATAGTGTGTTCAAAATAGCTGTAAAATATTTTAATGCTAACATTTTCTTTTGCTGTTCCTCAGTACCAGCCCGAAAAAAGCATTCAAAACCAGGAACACTGGTATGCCTTCATTCACATTGCACCTTTCTCTTGAGACGTTGCACTCCATTGTGGCAGTTGCTCACGACGTGTTTTTATTCTCGACTAATGTCATGTAATTTTCAGTGGGGTAATTTAAATTAAACCAGTGGGGCTTGGGGGATTTTCTTATCGATTTATTTCCCCAATATTTTGGTTCATGTATGTATCTGTGCTCAAAGTCAAACTTATGCAGTCGTTGTGTAAAATGCTTTCTTCTCAATTTATCAGTGTAGCAAGCCGTATTTTTCTCTACTTGCTTTCTCTTTCATTAGTTATCTCTGCGTTGGTCTCCTCAGCATTGTCCACCTGTGTAGCCCATCTGGGCTTTAATCTTGCTCGTTGCCTGTGTGTTCAGTTTTTTTTAAACAGCTCCATTGGAAAAAAGTCACAAATGAGTGATATCACTTTTACATGCGTTAGTCTGCTACATAAAGTGCTTCTTGAAATTCGATGCCTTTATTAGCTCGGACACATTTACTTTGTGTGTTTGTTGTATTTCCCATGTACGCCTGTTGTTCAAGAAGGGGGCATCTGCATGTCACGCAAGCAGTGCAATAAAATAATTTTACGTGAATTTTGTCTTGCTTTATGCGTGTAACAAAAGCACGCTACAAGGCATGATGACTTGGATGTTCAGCCATAGATGTAATATTTTGTGTTGCCACCTAAAAACATGTAGTGCCTTGTATCTGCACAAAAATGCGTAATTGAATAATAGTGCATAATAAATAAAAGGGTAATAGTGCCAAAACAATTAAAATGATATAAAAGGCAAAAACCAAAACTGAAAATGAAATTACCGTCTCTCTAATCGGGCGCCATCGTGCAATTACCTCAACACAGAACCTTTCCGGGTTAAGAACGACGGCGAAGCAAAGCGACATAAAATCCCCGCCATTTCTGCGCTTCTACGTGCTTCTATGTGCAGCCAGTGCCTCCAAAGGAGGCACTGGCAAGCTTTTACCAAGGACGTGAATGCCGCATTAAACGAATAATCCCACGATCTCAACTGTTCCTAGCAGCAGGAAGTTTTTGGAAAGCTTCTTGGCGATAACCGCTAATCACGTACGATCGTTTCGAAGCAGGTCGTTCTAGAGATAGTCTGTTCCGCGCCTACGGAGGCGCGGCGCATGCTGGCTCCCTGTGTCGGGCGGGCACTAGGGACCAATATGGCGGCCCCGCCGCAGCCACCGTTAGGCAACCTTAGACTCTGCTGTCGCCACCCAAAGCGACGACGGCGCGGCGTATGTAGGCTCCCTAGTCTGACCATGTGTCGGCGATTTGTTCAGGTGTAAATGCTGCGATTTTTGTGTGCAGACCATGCCAACTCATAGCGTGCTGGGTTGCACGAGCAGATACTGCAAGCAGCTCAGACCGGCATTGTCTCTACGTTCCGTCCAACACGAGCCCTCGCTCAGCGTGGCCCAAAGCAGTTTCACATGCAAACCAGGAACAGCAAAATCAATGGTGTGTGCCCTTCACTTTCATGAACAAGACATATCTCCTTCAACATATAGCTGCGCAGGGTTCGCCTTCAAAAAGATGTGATGTGGGGGGGGGCAAAGGTTTATGGCAGCAACTCCCATCCATTAAGTCAATGTGTGGGTAGATTTTAGCGTTCCCTCCCTTCCTCCTAGGTGAATCCTGCCCACTACCCTTATTAGCATTTTACATCTAGGACATCTATTTTTGTGACAAAACACTCCAGCAGACTTCACAATTACATGCTTTTATAAAATCATACAAATATATTACTTTTTGAATGCAAGACCATATCCATGCGCAGGGAACCTTTGCCCTCCCGTCCATCAGGGGCCCGAAAGTTCCCCGTTTCTAATGGCGCGTACGGTTGGGAGTTTACGAGAGCTCTGAAAAGTAGCCGTGCCCTCGGTTGGTGAAATTTGAACACTCAGACTCCTTTTGTTAGGTTTTTTTTTTTTGGCATCAAACTCGAACTCTGAGCGCTCCCAACCGCTCAGACTTCAAAGTCGGAGCATGGCGCGTCATTTGGCCAAGAGGACGGCACAATCCGGCAACCACATGATCACGAATTACCTAGTTGCCAGCAGGTGACAGTGGAAGCGTGCATTTTGTACAGTTACAGTGGACGACTGATATTTCGGACGCCTAAATTTTCGGACATGCTCGATAATTCGGACATTTACTTGGCACCAGGACACACCCTATAAATTCAATATTTTGCAGCTTGAAATTTCGGACACTTAAGGACGGGCTGTTCGATATTTCAGACTTTCCAAGCGTCAGTCAAGCCGACTACCATCATTTTTCGCACCGCCGCGATCTTGCTTGTTTACTTTTTCATCCAGTAGCTTCGAACCGGTGCTGGCCATGCGAGTGGCGTCCGCCAGCCTCTGCTAGGGTGGCTACCTCGAACTGCTGGATCGAGGCTATTTTCGCATCAGCATTGCTGCCGAACAATATTTCTTTCCTCCCTGCTGTGACCGTTAGATGGACTGGACCGAATCGACTGACTGTTCGCCTGTGCGTGTGCCATGTGTGTTGCCTAGCTACAAGCGCTGATTCAGAATGGATAAGGGATCGCCGATGTCGTTGGCCTCTAGAGCTCCGATGAAGCGCGGAAAGTATGTCACCATGTCGATGGCGAAAAAAGCTGCCATCATCAAGCTCGTTGACAGTGGCCGATCGCAGGCAGATGTTGTGAAAGAGTTCCATATTTCTAGACAGACTATTTCGGACTACATCAAAAATAAGCAGAAGATTTGGAGGCGGCGGGAAAGTCTACTGAATGTCGTCAGAAGAATGTCAGCCAAGGCACCTACCCTAAGCTCAAGGAGGCCCTTCTTGTTTGGCCGAAGTCAACAGTGGCCAGCAAGGTTCCCGGCTCCGAAGCCTCCTCAAACACAAAGCTGAGATGATGGCGCTTCAAATGAACATTGAAGGATTTAAGTTCAGTGACGGCTGGCTAAGAAACTTCAAGAAGCGCTTTGATCTCTGTTTTAAAAAACTGTGCGGCGAAAGTGCAGCTGTTGACCTCAGCGTCGTTGCAAATTACCGCTCTGAAAAGCTGCAGTCCCTTTTACAAGAGTACTTGCCAGATGATACTTTCAACTGTGACGAGACCGGGCTTTTTTTCAGCTGATGCCAGAAAAGACACTGGCCTTTGCTGGCGACCCTTGCCATAGTGGCAAACACAGTAAGGAGCGAGTTACTGTACTGATCGGTAGCAACATGTCGGGCACAGAAAAACTGCCGATGCTCGTCATCGGCAAGTTGAAAGCTCCGAGGTGCTTCAAAGGCGTAAAGTTTCTGCCTGTTTTGTACGAGGCCGACAAAAAGTCCTGGGTAACTCAGCAGCTTTTTGAAAGCTATGTGAGAATACTCGACCGCAAATTTGATTTAGAAGGCCGCAAAATTGTCGACAACTGCGCTGCACACGGGCACATTACCAATTTGAAGGCTGTGCCCGTTGAGTTCTTGCCACCGAACACGACAAGTGTCTTACAACCGATGGACCATGGTGTCATACGCACTCTCAAAGTGAACTATCGATCACGCTTGCTTCCGCGTGCGGTGGTGTGCCTCAACAGTGGAAAAGCGTGCTCGGTCGATTTGCTTGGGGCACTTAGCATGCTCGCCAATGCGTGGAAGTCGATGGCATCAACAACGCTGCGCAACTGTTTCCGCCACACGGGATTTGTGTTGAATCGCGAGTCGGCCGCCTTGGACGAGGACAGCGTCGCCGAGCACGTTTTGGGAAGCGAGCAGCTTATCAACGACCTTTGCACTGCGGGCGTTGATATTTCATCAGATGTCTTGTTTTCCGAGTTTGCGTGTGTGGACAACGATTTGGAACTGTGCGCTGGCCTCATGGATGAGGAAATCATTCGGCAAGTGCTTGCGGAGTCCGAGAGTGACGAAGACGACGACTTACCTGCAACAGCACAGTTGACGCAAGCCGAGCTAATGCAAGCGATCGCAACCCTTTCGTCAGCATACAGCGACTCGGCAACTCTACCCGAAATGCGGGCGCAGGTGCTCGCACCGAAGCGAAGCATGGTCCAGAAGATGATCGATCACTTTTTCCGCCCACCATCTCAATAGTAACCAATAAAATGAGCATTTTTGGGGCACATTTGCTTTTTCGGACTGCCCGAATTTTCAGACATTTTCGTGGTCCCTTGAGGGTCGAAAAATTGGTCATCGACTGTACTTATAAGCTACTTTTAGGTAGCAGAGTTGTGCCAATGTTTTCGGGCGCCGCTCGGTTGGCCTTTGACAATTTCAGCAATGCTCAATGCTATTGGTGGAGCATCATCATGTGATGATGAGTGGTTCATTTGCACTGTGGAGAAGCCAACACTGCGCAGATGACGTTAACAACGCCGAACACTCCGCAGAGTACAGGCAGCTCAAGCACGGTTGACATCGGCTGTTGTTATTCTCGTCGCGCCAGAGAATACCTAGCCGCGCTTTTTCGGCGCTGTCACTAGGCTGCCTATCGGTCGCGAGAAATGTGGTAGCAAGTGCATTCTGTGTTGCATTGTACTACGCACAGCCCATGTGATTAGACGCATCGACAGCTATTTCGCTATGACAAGATGTTGTTCGCCGAACTGCCACAACTGCAGCAAAAATGGTAAGATGTTCCTCGGGGAGCCATGAGCGAAATGTGCGGCACAAGTAGGCCGCGGACTCCAGTGGTTTCTGCGTATGGGCCGTGACAAGCCGCCTCGAAAAGAGCTAAGTGCAGAGCACTAAATCTTTGTATGTTTACTTGTGTCCACTGTTTTAGAATGTGACGAGTACAACAAAAGCACTATGATGATTTCAATTTTCCTGTCCATCTGCATTAAAATTTTCAAGTACAAGACACCAGCTATGCTTTGTCCTTGTGTAACTATTTTAATTGCATGCTACGCAGTGGGTGTTGCTATACAAAGATTAGTGTTCAGTGAGGAAGAAATAAATGCGTAACTTTTTATCTATCCACGACACTGCAAAACTTGCTGTGATGAGGTTCCCTGATGGCGCTGAGAGGTCAATAAAGTGACGGCAAAGACGCACAAGCACATACACTGAAGCAAGAGCCGTTCAGCCACCTTCAACTTATCTCCCTGCACGTGCCCACATGGTGCATGCCAAGAAAACAGAACAAACCACGTGGGATGTCAACAACCGAAGGACTTCGTAAACGGCGTGCCTTCTCCTCCGGCGCAGCGGACGCAGTAACTGCGACAGCCCGCCTGGCCCTTCTCACTCGACAGCATCAACGCCGCCGGGGCTGCTTCACCGATCTTCAAATGGGTAAGCATGTTATTTGTTTGAAATGACTTCTTAACGATGCTTTGTATACCATTTTGCTTGCTCTGTTTTTGTATTTGTTTTGCTTGTGCTCGTGTCTGTTTAAATATATGTTTGCCGTACCACTTGCGTCCTATTTCTTGCAGTCATAGCCAGCATCTCTGACATACACGACTAAGCATGCTCCCCAAACCTTAAATAACACTTGTTGCCGTGCATAGAGTGGAACCCTTAAAACTTTGACACCTACCCAAAATGACTGACAGCTACATCTACGAAAGTGCGTTTGGTATAATGAAAGTGAGGTCGGGTCTCCCTTGAGATCAGCAACAGGGTCTATCTAGCAATAGAAGCATTCATAGCATTTAGTGTTCTACCACCAGTAGCCAGAAACATGGCAGAGTTTATTGGAAAAATCGATCATTTGACTCATCCAGCAGTTCTTATGTAGAAAAAATTAGTTATGTAATTAGTTATGACGTTTCCCACATTCCTTGGTGCATCAATGTCTTAGCGGCTTGTCCGGAAGCTAGCAGGTATTGATAAGTCTCAAGGATGATTCATTCTTTCATGTTGTATCGCGCTGCTATGAACATGTAAACAGTCTACATAAACATTCTTATTACTAGCTCCTCCTCTTCCACTCGTCTTCTCCTGATGCACTGATGGCTCCAGTTCGAACCACACTACCCAAAGTCGCAACAGTAAATGGCAGCTCAGTGGGGTTGGCCAGGGTCAGCTAAATGAACATGTAAATTCTGCATATCAACATTCTTATTACCAGCTCCGGTTCTTCCACTCGTCTTCTCCTGAGACTCTGATGGCTCCAGTTCAGACCACGCTACCCTAAGTCGCAACAATAGATGGTTGCTCAGTGGGATCGGCCAGCGTCAGCTACCTTGTGCGGTGAATGACTGACGTTTACTTACCGTAATGCCAAACCTAGCTAGTGCTCTTTGTTGATAGGTTTTTGTGTTGTAACATTGTGGGTCAGCCAACAATTGAATAATTTGACCACATAGTGTGAGTAGAGGGTAAACAAGACAGAGTGAAGTTTCATTATAAACAAGTTCAAAGTGCTGGATCTTCTTTAAATTTGCAAGGAGTTAGGGCTTTTGATTGACTCTACTAAGCAGAAACAGCAGATCATTGGAGAGAGAAGGTGACTATCGAGGAGGCCCAGGAGCTCATGAAAATAATCATGAAAATAAAACTCCGAAGGAGATTCTAGCTAAAAAGCAAAAAGCTGCCGAGAAGGAACATGAGCAGAAACTAAAAGAGTTGGATCTTGGAATATTAACAGCAAGGTGTATTTCCGCTATGAGCAAACCGGTAAAGATTACAACCTTTTGCAGCCGTTTAAACTTGTCAGAGACATCGAAACTTTTCTTGTTGATTTTGAGCTAACGTGCTAAAAGGCAGGACTTTCCTCGATAATTGGGCACAGAAATTGCAGCACTTTTGTCCTGCGGTGTCGCCGCTACAAGAGCTAGCTAGATTCGGTGAAGAGGACACTGATGAGTACAACAAAGTCACGAGATACGTGGGGTTTAACGTCCCAAAACCACCATATGATTGTGAGAGACGCCGTAGTAGAGGGCTCTGGAAATTTCGACCCCCTGGGGTTCTTTAACCTGCACTAAATATCTAAGCACACGGCCTACAACATTTCCGCCTCCATCGGAAATGCAGCCGCCGCAGCCGGGATTTGATCCTGCGACCTGCACGTCAGCAGCCGAGTACCTTAGCCACTAGACCACCGCGGCCGGGCAGCTGGTGCGGGGGGTTGCTCTGCTGCAGTGCCATATCCCCTGCTTCGCCACAGGAACATTCACTGGCACAATCCCCAAACCTACTTACCGTAGTGATGTGAACGACCAGCAGCCAATGAGAATGAGAACGTCCAAAATCAGCATCTTTTATTTTCCTGTGTTCGCTTTGCTGTTGTGGTAACAGCTGAGAGAACCGGTGTTGGCAGAATGAGAGCCTCCGAGACCAGGAAGTATTTTGCGACTTTGCCGCTGGAGGAAGGGCAGGGCCCATGTGTCGAGACATCGTGAAAAAGCGGATTGTGGTGACTTACAGAAAACTGCCATCGTCCCCCCCCCTCCCCCCAATGCAGCAAAAGGTCTTTCCAGTGGACTTCTTTTTTGACAAAGCAAAGAAGGCTACCTTTTCAACAGCGTGGAATGAACACTACCATACTACAAAACTGCCCAGTTTTGCACTAGCACAAAGTATGCTAAAAAAATTTTCAATTCTGAAAATAACACACCAAAGGGCCAGCATCAGCCAAAGTAATGTCGTTAAGAGACTCCTGGAAAATGATAGGAATACTGTACAACCTGCAGTACAAAAAAAAATAGTGACGGAGGAGCAGATATTGCACAGTGATAATAAACAGCCTTAAAAAAAAACGGCGGTGTCAGGACATTTTTTAAAGCGCCCAAAGACAGCATTTCCACACTCTTATTCAATCCGCTAACTGCCAATGCACTCCCACAGTGTTGCCAGAACAATCGAAGTCATTAGGCGGCACCCCACATTGGAAAAGAATGTGCGCTGTATACTTCACGAGGTTCCAAGATGGAAAAATGATCTGCACATTCTTCAG